AGAAAGCGGTCACCTTTGTCCAAAGTTAGCAGAATTCCAGTTGATACAATTCAGGATCCAGTGGCAGTGATGCCTTTATTTAGTTTGTCTTTTGCTCTGTTTCAACAGGGTTTGCAATAACCCAGCAATGAAAGCAATTAATAAAATCCATTATCTGTGGAGTGGTATTTGCGGTCTCATTTATCCACATCTGGCAAAATATGTCTTCTCTAGGCATTTTTAGGTCCTCCAGTGTGACTTCTACATTTCAGTTGTGTTCACTATTATCCATGGTTTCACATAGCCACACAATGTCTGGCAACATACCTCCGATGAATACAGGGGTCAAAATGTATACACTAAAAGCCAAAACACAAAGAAATTACTGAGGTCCTGTATTACTTTGATGCAGATCTTCTTCCATCCACCCAGTAACCAAATGAGATGTAATAATGGCACTAGATGATTTCATTTTAACTACATTGAAAAGATTTCTAGGATTTGTGATTTTGGGAGAATCTTTAGAATACATACCAGAGAGCTCTAGTGGCTTGCCAAACTACAAATCCCAGGATTCTGTATGGCAGTTAAAATAAAATCATTTCATTATAAAGTTTAATGTGAAAGGGCCTCAGTAACATTAGGTACCCAAAAGTACAATGACATTAAATCAGCAGAGATGCTGGTGGAGATGATGGAGGCACTTGGCCCAAATCAAAAGCTGTTCTGAGGTTGAAGAGATGTCCCAGACAAGTTCTGTTAAAGGATGGCTTCTTCTAAAAATAAAATCTCACATCAAATCTAAGAAATATTTAACATCTCATAGCCTTTTAAAATGTTCACCTAAGATTTGCATTCTTTGAATGCCTAAAATACCAGATACTGATCAAATCATATTAGTCTTATAGGAAGACTATATGGAATCAACCGGATTCAACTACACAGATTGAGCATCTCTTATCTAGAATTCCTAAATCAACATAACTCTAAAACTAAAATTTTCCATATAAAATTGTCCACAATCTAAAACTGTCCTCAGCTGAGAAAGTGACAACTTTGTTTTTTGACATTTCTATACACTCAAACTTTCTTTCATGCTCAAGCATATTAAAATATTGTATAAAATTACCTTCAGGCTATGTGTATATATATGAAACATACATAAATTACATGTTTAGATTGAATCCTTCACCAAGTTATCTAGTGTACGTAGAAGCAAATGAAGGTAAAAATAAAATAAAAATCCAAACATTTCTGATACCAGGCATTTCAGTTAAAAGATACTCAGCTGACACACTATTCAGAAGTTGTTAATTTGTTTCATGGGAACAAATTAACAGAATGTTTCTTATTTTGTGACATTAACATCATTCAGAAACCCTGGTAAATCCAGGTTTAATGTTTGTCAAAGGCTTTCATGGCCAGAATCACTGGGTTGTTGTAGGTTTTTTCGGGCTATATGGCCATGTTCTAGAGGCATTCTCTCCTGATGTTTCACCTACATCTATGGCAGGCATCCTCAGAGGTAGTGAGGTTGACCTCACTAACTCTGAGGATGCTTGCCATAGATGCAGGCGAAACGTCAGGAGAGAATGCCTCTAGAGCATGGTCATATAGCCTGAAAAAACCTACAACAACCCAAATCCAGGTTTGTTGTGGAGCAATCGGCAGGCAGTTCCACACAGGAGTTTAATGTGAGAGCAATTGGATTTAAGAAACCTGATAGGGCCCACATTGGAGTCCACACATGCACCAGAAGCCCCATGCTTTCCTGGTCACAAAACAAAACCCCCCAGAAAGCCTTTAAAAAAGAAAATAACTTATGTGACCACCTCTTCTCCGGAGCTCTCCTGGTGGATAGAAATGATGCACCAGAAGAAAGCTGTCAAATTACTTTGGGACAAAGCAGGGTTTTTCTGCTTTGTCCCAAATGAATTTGTTTTTACGTGGGGTGTCGTTTGGATACCCCACATAAAAAGGTGGGTGCTCGAGCATTTTAGGCACTGCCTGGATGCGCCCTGTACCACAATTCAGAATGCTGTAGTTTTCCCTCTTTTCTTTTACATATTTCTTCTTGTGGATCAAAATAGAAGGATATATGTTTAATTTTCCTAGAAGAGATTTCTAGTGGTGAAGCAGGTCTGCTGGCATTGCAAAATGTCCTCAGCTATCTCCTGTGCATTTAGGAGGCTTTGTTTTGTGACTGGACATTAGAAGAAGAGCATGGCTTAATTTGCAAGTCCAATGGTTCAGGCATATCTCTTTGAGAAAATTCTATGGCAAAAGAGAAAATCAGCTCATTAAACGGAATATATATTTCCTTTAATGTGGGGTTTGACCCTGAATCTTAGGTATCAGTCAGGCTATTCCTAAGAATCAATTGTATAGAAAAGGTGGGGGGGGGGCACATACTTACATCTTTTTTGCAGTAGTACAAGCTGAAACCTAAGCCTCTCACTTGGGAAAGGGAGCTTTGAAATCAAAAGCAATAGTTTGGGTGGAGGGGGAGGAATGAAAAGAGCTTCTCATTTGCAGGAAAGAAGTTGGCTTTTTGTAACAAATGTCAAAAAGTCCAGCTCCTGGGCTTGAAAATAAATGGCTCTTCCGTTTTCTCCATTTTTTTCAAAAAAGAGAAGAAAAGAACACTGAAGCAAAATACTTTCTAGCTCGGTAGCTCTTTTGTTACTGTACAATTCCTCAGCTTTGGTTAAAAGCTGCCCATTGTAATACTGGCTTGATTTAACGGGTTGTTTGAATCTCATTGCTCCTGCCAAATTCTCCCAAAAAGCACAGTAGCAAAAAAGCACCGAAAAGTTTCCTTAACATTGTTTCTGCCCTGACCAGGCAATGGCTGCTTAAAACTGGCGCCTGTGGAGAACATAAAAATGCCTGAAAGGAAGTTTTTTATATGACTCTATAATAAAATAAAATAACTTCTTTCACACATTTGTTGAAGCTGCTAACTTAGAGTAGGATTTGGAAAAGAAATTTAGTATAACTAATATCAGCTTCATAATTACATCTAAAGTAATTTAAAAGAAATAGGATTACTCCTTGCATGTAAAGATGGCCTCAGCTTGATCTGCAAAAAAAACATGATGTAAAATAATTTTCTTTGGATTCCTTCTACTGTCATTATGTGTGTACTTTTCTTTTAATACAGGTCTGACTAGTTCTTGATTGCTCCCAGACTGACGTAGTCCCATATGTCTTACTGCTGTCTATAGAAGTGCTTAATCCGAGCTTCCTTGCATTATGGTTTTCAGTTAAATATTGTCTTAGAGCCTGAAGTTTCCAGACCAAAAGCCAAACCCTAATAATAATATAATAAACTTTATTTCTACCCCGCCACCATTTCCCCAATGGGGACTCGGTGTGGCTTACATGGGGCCAAGCCCGGAGAACATAATACAGCAATAAAATCAACACATATACAGCAAACAACAACAACATCATCAAAATAACATTAAAAGGAGAAAAAATAATAAGATAAACATTCCAATAAACACAATCACAGTAAGGATGACAATGGGCCGGCCACATATTCAGGATAAATACAGTTAACAAACTATAATGAGATAAAATAGAAGCGGAGCATTTAAATGGAACTCATAAAACACACAGAGTTGTGAGGCTAAACATCGTATTTGAAGGGCACAAACTCCATTAGCAGAAAATGTTGAGGGGTGCAGAATATCATGCTGTGCACCTTCTCACCAAAGGCGCAGTGGAAAAGCCAGGTTTTGAGGTTCTTTTTGAACCCTAGGAATGGCCCCTGGTAATGTCAGTGTGTGGCTAAAAGTATGAAACATCCTTGCTCATGGTTTGTTCAGAGAAAAGAAAGGGAGAGTTTTTGTTGTTTCGAAACTGAGACAGAAATCTTAGCTAAACAGGCTTTCCCCGCAAGATGAAATTAGTGGGGTTTTAGGGAATTAGAAGGAAAAGGAACAACTTGTAGCAAGGAGGTGGGTGCAGAGCAGAGTTGAGGTTGAGATTGAGTCCTGGCACCACAATGACTGGGAGGCAAGGAGTTAATTAAGTAAATACATGGACACTCTCCCCCAGTTTTTGCAAGCTGCAAGAATTATAACAAACCATACAATTGGGGTGCATTGAAGATCTGCACACAGACCATTTTCTTGCCTGGAGTTATGCCCACCAGAACTGGAAAATCTACAACTTTATTGTCTGCATGAATCTAGCCCATGAAAACTGGAGACAGATCTGGTGATCCTATTTTTCCATGAACCCTGTGGGATTTTATGCAACAGAAGCCAAAATAATTTGGGTGATTTATGTATAGTCAGCTCCGTACATTTGCCTCATGAAAGTGGGGAAAATGCAAATAAAAAACACTATTTTTAAACCTGAGAGGACCCCTTTCTAGGAATCTTTGGGTCCAGGAGTGTGACCATGGAGTCATACTGGAGGACCTAGAAGTTCCTAAGGAGGATGCTTTAAATCTACAAATGATCAGATCCACAGACATGGAGGGCTAAATGTCCTGTGAACTTTGGCTTGTGACTAGAACTTTCAGGCAGCAAAATGTCTTGAGCTGGCTCTGGAGCTGTATCTGAAATTTGTAGAACAGATGCCCTCCAGGCAGAAATCATTTAGAATGCCCTAGCATGCCATTATACGCCATATAAAAAAAAGGCTCCAGGAATATTTCCCGTGCTAGATTAAAAAGCATTAAAGCAGAGAATCAACTTCAGTTCCTAAATTGATACACAGCAACGGATGTGTCTTGATATAAGCAGAGCACAAAAGAAGCAGCACACTCTTTAAATCTTAAACTAGAACAGCGAATCCCCAGGTTTCCAGGCAAATTGCATTCCTAGGACTATATGTGTTTGTGGGTTTGCAAACTGTGCTTCACTCACTGCCATGTTGCCTTTTAATCTAAGTATAGCACAAAAGCATGTTGGGGTTATTATTTGCTTCAAATGCAGAGCTTGGTTTCTGCTTTTCATTTGATTTTTCTCTCCTGCATTTATTTATTTATTTTTACATCACTGCAGCTCGTCATGAAATTATCAACAAAGAGATCCTGGAGTTGGACACTTGGGAGAATCAGTGGAACGTAGTGGCCGTCAACGTCCTCATGCATGACAGCTATGACGTCTGCCTGGTGGCTCAGTTGAACCCAAGAGACCTCATTCCTCCCCCTCCTGATTTAGTGGAGCAATAGGTATGCTGATTTCCTAGCAAGTTAGATACATGCCTGTTTCTGGATAGTAGTGACCCTTGGGCTCTCTGAGATGAATCTACTGCCTGGACTTATTATAGTGAATGTCTACTGCTGCTATGTACCTTTATATTCTGGAAATCCACATTTGATCATTTGTCCTCCTTGTTGAGCATTAATTTTTCCAAGGTGCCAAACTGATGTTTCTTGCTGTTTAGGTACATCAAATTATCTATAAATAGGAAATATTTGAGATGCATTTTCACTTGGAATTGATCCAGTTTGACACCAACTACCATGGCTCAAGACTGTGAAATCATGGGATTTGTGGTTTGATGAGGCATAAACACTTTTCGACCTCATCACATTGAGGTTTCTAATGCAAGCGATACCAGGGGAATTTGCCAGGCAGCATGTCAGATCTGCGGGGCAGTGGGGGAAACTGTCATCCCACATCCCGCATCACCACCTTCCTCATGAGAACTAAGGTCGAATACTGTGAAAGCCATCAACAGCATGGATATCAGCCTCCTCCCAGTAGACTCAAATCAAGGAAAGGCTTCATGAGAACCACTACTCTTCTTAATGTTGCCCCAGCAACAGCAAGAGTATCCCTCTGGGCAGCTAAACCAGGAAATCCCAATTGGATGGTCCCACATGAGGGCAAACCAAGAATGGGCAACTTGGAAGTCCCTGAACAGAGGCTGGATGGCCATCTGTCAGGGGTGATTTGAATGCAATATTCCTGCTTCTTGGCAGGGGGTTGGACTGGATGGCCCATGAGGTCTCTTCCAACTTTTTGATTCTATGATTCTATGAACAGACTCAGAAGTGGAGTGGGCAGATTAAAAGACAGCCTGGCAAAATGGCACTACCTAAAAGAATCCTCCACCTTGTGCGACTGTGGAGCAGAACAAACTGTGGAGCTTGTCTACAATGCCCTGCCTTATGGAAGAATTGTTTAAAGCTACAGACAATATGGTTTGCTGTTGCCTGGTTTTGGCCAACAATTATTTAGCCACTTGTGCTCCTTCTATTTTTATTAGTTTTATATTTATGTATGCAAGGCTTTTGACACAAAATAAATAAACCTTCCTTATCACATGGGGGAAAACATCACTGCCAGGCTTCCCCCCACACTGGCCCTGCTGTAGGCAATGAGAACACGGGTAGTCAGCCACCCGTGTTCTCAGGGCTCTGTCCTAGGACACTGTCAGGACAGAACAGGGAAGTAGCCCTGTGTCGTGTGATGGGCCCCGGCAGACTCCACCCTGGCTCCATCCTGGAAGCCTTCTAGTATGAAGCCAGAAGTCCATGTGATGAGGTAGTAAATCCTTTATGAAAGTACAACTCCATGATTCCATAGCATTGATACCTAGCAGTTAAAATAATGTCAAACTGCATTATTTCAACATGTAGATGCTTCCTTGGGATGTTATTAATTAAGCATGTCAATTAAATGGGAGCAACAGCAGATGCTTATAAAACTAAGAAAGATCTCTTGGTTGAGAATTCTTCATTCTATGCTGTTGTTAATGCTGTGAAACTATTCATTTTTAAGCAGTGGGTCAAAATGGAAACATGGCCTTCATTTCATTGATAAATTGGCTCAAATGTCAGCTTGTGCAGGTCCTAACAAGATGAGCTGTTTATTTCCTTGTCAGTTTCCTGCTTTCTTTTGTGTTTTGCTTAGCCTTTTCATGAGTTTATATCCACATTCATGATCTTTTTAGTCTTTTAGGCTACCAGACCTTTTCTCTGGAGTTAGTCCTGATAATCCTTCATCCCATCAATCCTCTTGACCCATCCGTCCATCTGAACCTCTTGACCCATCTTCTGTTCTACTTTTGATCTTAGAGTGTAAAGTAGAAAGACTGTCTCTGCCAGCATTGTTGTTTCTGCCATCACCTAGTATAGTTTGTGTTGGGAAATAGTAAGTTATGCTGACATCAGCAATGAGCATGCAAATCATAGGAATGAACAGAACACAGTCAAGAAACAGGAATCATAGAATCGTAGACTTGGAAGAGACCACATGGGTCATCTGTCCATGCAGGAAAAGCACAATCAAAGTGACCTCAACAGACAGCCATCCAGGAAAGGGAAAGGAAGGCAAAGGACTATATATGTGATGGTCTAATGGTGAGTAATCTCAGCTTCTTGTCAGTCAGATCCACACAGTGGAGGTAATGCCTATATTATTGTGAATTGATTCTGCATATGCTGGAACAGGAGAGCTAGTACACATTTCCCACCCTACTCCATTTATGACTCATCTGCTTTACCTTGAAATATCAGTCAATGTTTCATTGAAGATAAAAAGGCAGTAGAAACTACACTAAAACTTGTTTGGTACAGAATACAATGCTAAGTCTGAATCAGTGTGTGTGAAAGAGTGAGTGAGTGTTTTAGATAGAAAGAATGACTCTAGGAAATAAGTACCGCTGTGAGCCTTGTGACTCAACCTTTTTTTGTGTGAGAGCTTTGTAGGCAGGATGTATATGGCAGTCAAAACACTTATCTGTATCATTTCTGTACAGTCAACACTGGGAAAAAAATGTTAGCATATAGTCTGGATTAATAGGAATAATGATTCCAGAGATTATGCTGATTGACTTCTTATTCTACTGTTCAGCCATTGGAGGCATGTAAATATACTAAACATGGTTTTTAAAAATGTGTACAAATGATCGACTACATTTAGGAACTTTCTCTTCCTGTGTCTTCATAGGAAAAACCTCCTGTGGTTTGAGCTACCCCGGGTCACAGGATATAAAGTTGTTGCTGTTGTTGTTATCATTATTTTAACATCTTCTAATTTGTCTAATAAAAGGTACTAGAATGATGATAATAATAAATTGTTGTTATTATTATTATTATTATTATTATTATTATTATTATTATTATTATCTTTATTTATATCCTGCTGCCTCTCCCCAAAGGGCTAACAACATAAAAAACAATACATACAGTAACAGTCACAAAATAAATCAAAAAGGCAAATCACAATAATTAAAATAAGACCAAAAACATAAATGTCAACTCATGAACATCAACATCAAAATAAATTAACACATACACATACCCTCACATGGGCTGGCATCCTGTTGGGAAATAATGTCACCATACACTGACTTGCACCCATATAAAACTTTAATTGGCCCATTAAACAATGTGCCTACTGCCAGGAAAAGACTGGAAATGGAACTATCCCATCAGGACCATTGTGCAAAAGGAGACAGCAGGATGGCCACTGTGAAGTGGGTCCCAATGCACTATATCTCCTGTTGTGCAGTGGGAGTTTCCCACTGAATGATGGGATCTTTTGCATCGTACATTGATAAATTCACCAGTATCTTTGTGTGTCGTTTCATCAATGTAGCTCCATCATTACAAAGATATGTATCATTGTGATTCAGAATCTTGGCCATTATTTGAAAATGCAGCTGTAATACTATTCTAAGGAAAGGCTGTCAATGTAACTTCCAGGTTCCTGTGAAATATGGAACAGCTCCCCTGTGCCTTTTGTACAGACTTGCAAACAACACCTTAAGAGAGTGGTTGTGATACTCAAATTTTTACTCCATTCAACTGAGCACCTTTTCTCTTGAAACACTGCCTTTCCTCCCATCTCTGTTTCTCTTCTGGTAGTCCTTTCCCCCCATTCACTGCCTTTTCTTTTCCCCTCCCCACTCCACAACAGAGAGGAAGGTCTCTCCTTAATGGAGAGTATGTTTCCATGGCACCGTGCTAATAGCAATCTCTTTTCTATATTTAACTCTGGGTTCTAATTGAGTGATCAAGACAGCAGATCACCTCAGCTATTTTTGTGGTCAACTTGCTGAGAGGGGGAAGAATCTGTGAAACCAGTCTGCCCAGTCTGTGTGGTCAATGGACCATAGCCAGCTGTGGGGAATTGAACTGCAAACCATCGGTCAAATTAGTGGTTTAGGGACCCAGTTCTATCATTGGCAGTGAAGGAATGCTGAACCCCAGCAGATGGAGAGCAAAATGTTTCTCTACTGTATGTCATCTGCTGCATGACTTACTACCAATAAAACCTTCTCTTATAGACTTAATAAGTGTCAATCTTTAGTACAAACAAAGTCTTTGGGATGCCTAGAATACCAACCACTTCCAGCTTGAAAGAAGCGCAGTGTAGAATATGAGATTGCCAAAATGTGTTCCTATCTATACTGAAGGCTGGATTAGCTGGAACTGAATGCACAGCTCATGACGTCTCTTGGTGTATAGACAATTTCCAGATCTCAGGGCCTGGACCCTTTCCTCTGGTCCTCACAATGAGGGTGAGGAATTTGAGGGTAAGAGTAAAGACTTGAAAAATGTGTGGATGATGTACATATACCCCTCATTTGCTAGACTTGGCATGCTTTGTTTGACATATCCTCTGCAACTGTGGCTGATGCATAAGCTACCATGTTTAATGACCCTGGTGACATTTTCATTTAAAAGGGTGGAAAATAGGGGGGGGGGGGTAACAAAAAAGTAGTTTCCAGGAATTTAAATTATCAATTACTACCGAAAAAGGAAACCAGGAAGCTTGAAGTCTTTCCTCCTGCTAAGATTATGGTTTGCTAAGAAAGCAGTGCAACGACAATAGCTGAAGGTTAAGCAGAGCTTAGACATTTCCTGTCCTTTCTTTGATAAGAGAGAGTTACAAATGTGCCTGTCTTGATTGCTGGAAGCTATTCGCCATCTGGATCATCTCTGATACTGCTTGTATTCTAGCTTTCATCTGAGAAATGGGGGTGAGGAGAGGTTAAAAATCCAGGCCTTTCTTGATTATTTGTTCCCATTCTCTTCAGCAGAAAACTCTTTTTGTGGGATGAGATATGCACACTTGCATGTTCCAGCATAACAAATACTTGTAGCTTAGACATTTGCACAAGTCTGCTATGATTCTTTCATCCAAGGCCCTGCATAAATATAATGGGGACACAAATTTTGACAAAACACTTCGTTTGGGGACATCTTTTTCCTCCTGTTGTCCGCCCATAGAACATAGCCTTCCCATCAGCCTTTAGCTCTGAGTGTTGCCAAAGACAGACCCCCCCCCCCAAAAAAAAAAAAAACCCAGGGTGAAATATTACAGTTCTATACTTGGCAACACAGCGGTGAGTTCTGCAGGTCGCAGGAGCCGGTATTTCATGAATCGGCCTTAAGAATGCATGAAAGAGCCCAGTAGCAGCTATCAGCACCTGGGATACTATGGACAGCAATCTTCCCCTTATTATTAGTTATATTGTCTTTTAATCCTTCAATAAATATGGTTACCCTTAACTTTTGCTTCTATGACTCTCCTTTCGCCTTTCTGGGTCTCTTCCTTCCACTTCTGCCCTCTGCAGCTGGCTGGTGGCCACTTGAGTCACATCGCCCCATGGCCCCCATGACCCTCCACAACCCCGGGAAAAGGACACTCATTCTCATTTTTTCCCTTTGCTCTGATAATCCCATGTCAACTCCAACCTCGGTGGATACCAAAACCCCCTAGGGTTCCATAGTATCCACGGACCTCTTATGTATGTCTTCCTTTCCTGTGGATATCCAACTACTGCCCTGCTGGGTTTCCCTCGGCATCTATGGACACTTTTTGTGTGAGAGCATTTACCATATTTTATTTTCATACCCCAATATAAAATCCTTTTTGGAGCATGCCACCAACCAAGTCCTTGTGTGACCTTTCACCTACATCTCCTGACCCAGGAAGCATCTAGCTGTCTTTCTGGGCATCATTTGCATAAAAAGGACTCAATCACTCACCATCTTTGGGCCAGTCCATCTATACTGGCTCCATAGATTCCAGCTGTGTAGACAGCAACAGGATCCTGAGTACAGGCTGTCCTTTGTGCAGCTACTTGGACATACAAAAGGCACTCATCACCTGGCAGGCAATTCCCAATTATGAGAAGGTCAAGTCCCGTTCTCCAACATGACATTTCCTCTTTCCTATTTAATCCTATCAGGATGGACAATATTTGTGCTTTGGACTCACTTGACAGCAGCGCCAGGGGCACTGGACCATTTGCTGGGGACTCATGTTGCAATCTTCTTAACAATAAACTACTTGGGACCTGGTGGCCCCCTTTGTTTTTCCCTCTGCTGGGACCACATAATTCACTCAGAACCCATTTCAGCACCTTTGTCTTCTGGACTAATTCACCTTCATCAGTCATTGAACAGTGGGAATCTGCATCAAAAGTGGGGAACGCTCTCCTATTGGCTGGTGGATGCTGCAGTCCCACCTCTGCAGGGAACCCTTCCTGATGACATTGGATCCCAGCCAATCATAGTGAAGCTGGGTCCAGCTGGGCAGGAATTTCAAAGGATTGTATAAAAATATGTGTTTTTGCTATGTATGGTATCTCAGCTTACTTTGGTGGATAACCTTGAGCCAGGCCCGTAGCCAGGATTTCGTTTCGGGGGGGGCTAAAAAATTTTCAGGGGGGGTTTCGGGGGGGGGCTGAGTTTCGGGGGGGGGCTGAGTCTGAGTGAAAGAGGGTCTAGCCTAGCAAACCTTTTGTATCATTACCCCAATACCCCCATGCATATGGGATATATTGAGAATGGTGATCAAATCATGATATTAATAAACATAACAGTTTAAATAATGCACCAGTAAGGCCTTTTCGCGAACCACCATGAGAATTTCGGGGGGGGGGGCTGAAGCCCCCCGAGCCCCCCCCCCCCCCT